GTGGCCACTGGCTTTCCAGCAGATGGACAGATGCCTGCTGTAACCATTAAATTCCACACAGATCTTCATGGAATCATAGCATCCCTGCAGTGTGGAAGCAGGCCATTCGGCCCATCCAAACCACACCGACCCTCCAAAGAGCATCCCATTCAGGCCCACCCCTTACCCTATCCCCGCATTTCCCACCCTAGACACTATGGGTAATTTAACATGGCCAATCCACTTAAAGTGCACATCTTTGGACTGTGGGAGGAAATCCATGCAGACATAGGGAGAATGTGCAAACTCCACGCAGACAGTTGCCCAACCCCGGTTCAATTCCAGCCTCAGGTGACTGTCTGTGTGGAGTTTGCACATTCTCCCCGTGTCTGCATGGGTTTCCTCTGGGTGCTCCGGTTTCCTCCCACAGTCCAAAGATGTGCACATTAAGTGAACTGGCCATGTTAAATTACCCATAGTGTCTAGGGTGGGAAACGCAGGGATAGGGTAAAGGGTGGGTCCGGGTGGGATGTTCTTCGGAGGGTCGGTGTGGACTGGATGGGCCGAATGGCCTGCTTTGACACTGTAGGGATGCTATGATTCTATGAAGATCTGAGTGGAATTTAATGGATACAATAGGCATCTGTCCATCTGCTGGAAAGCCAGTGGCCACCCTGCTGCAGCCATTTTCAGGAGGCCCGATTGGGCACTTACCTCACATCATTGGATTCCAGGATTCTGAGAGAGGAATTGTCCCCTGAAATCCTAGTGCCGGGTGGGTATCCTACCTCTGACAGCTGATGCCCAATTAGTGGACATGAGGAGCAGTGACTGTTGTGGGTGTTAGATCCTTCAAGCCCAAACTAGTCAACAGTGAATGAAAATAGCCATCTTTTCGTTTAACTAGCAGAGTGTTACAGATTTGCAACTTTTTATGCTTTCACGATTTCAACCTACATTGGTGCAGCGGTAACACCAGCCTCAGGTCTGTCTCCTACCAGCTCCTTCTTTACTCTACCCGAGTCCCTGTGACAGGATTGACAATGGTGGGCCAGGAATAAGGTCAGTGAGGCTTGTTCCGCAGGGCGAGGCAGTGAAAATCACAGTAAGAGGTGAGGAGTGTGCTTTATATTTCAAGCAGCTGGGTGTCTTCACCCATTGGCTTCAGTGGGAATTCTCAGTTGAAATGAGCTGCCCGGTTGAAGAGAGTTCAGAAGCCAGCATTTACTTGAGACCTTGCTGTCTGCTGATTAAATGCCATTGGTAGTAACAGAATGAGATCTGAAGTGGGCCTTCCCACCATGGATTTAACAGAAGAGAGGCAGGAAGCCAGCAGAATCTCCAACCTGTAACTTCCTGCCTGATCACAACTTCCTCCTACTCCCACCTCTGAACACCAACCCACTCCCCTGAGATTGCATTAAATTCTACTCCATGTCTATCAAAGTCTGTATTAAGTAATACCTGGAATATTAGATTAGTGTGATATGGATGCAATGGAAATTCTAGTCGGCAATTGCAGGATGGTCAACATGAGCAACTATCCAGAATAGAGATTACCCAAATATGGAAATATAAATGGCATGAAACCTAAAACAGTTTTTATGCTGAATTTTTAAGACTGACCATTATGAAATAGAAATACACCACTTTACAATATACAGCAAGCTTTGTTTTGTCCAGCACTCGATAAATGGGCAAAAACTACATTCCTCAAATACTGCAAAGTTTTCTGTACTATTCTGTCCAATTATTGCAGATGTTTAAAATTTATTTACCTCGAGGTAATCATACTTGTTATTCAATCAATTGGCAACACAAAATATCAGTTAACTCAATTTCGAGTCTATTTCTCCTCAAATCCGCAATCTCCTCAATGCCCAAGTAACCAGTTGAGAGTGCAAGTGAGAATGCTCTCTGACGGTAAGCTTTATTTAAAGCAAAGTTACATTATTATTTAAGTGATTTATGCTGTAAATAAAGTATAGAGGTGATGTGTATACCCTCTGCATTATGTTTGCGTTACTTAGTCTGTGCTTTTACATCGATTACATGGACCTCTTGATTATCCAGAATATTTGACCAATCAGCACATTCCCCTGGTCCCATATGTGCTAGATAATAAAAAGTTAATGTATATGTTTCTGTTACTGATTTTAATGCTGACCTTAGAATTGAGATCATTCAAATTGCAGTCAAACATTGTAGGGTGAATCTAGCAAATTGTTACTAAGCAAAATAGTTATTATTATTTAACTAAGACCTGTTGTGCACAATGTTTTTGAAATTCTGACGTGATATAAGTTAGAATGTTACATTATAACAGCATCAAACTGATAGAGAAACAAGCAAACAACAGAACCAGAGAGGTAAAATAGGAAACTCTAAAGAGATAACAATAATATTATCGAATAACTTGTTTTTCTTGCATCATATTCTTCAAGTAGAGATGTAATGTGAAACTGAAAGTTATGAATAAATAAACTGCAGAATTTCTAATTCTGTTGAACCTTCGAACCAGTCTTTTTTTTATTAAGAGTAATTTGATCTTGACTTCTCCATTTTTGGTATTTTAATAAAAGGTTTAATGAAATAAAAAAAAGACCTCCAATGACTTACTGAGTAAATGGTCCTGGGTTTGACAGAGCTGCATGGTTCCCATATGTGATCCCCTTTTTGCCTCATGTATGTTGCTGTCGATCAGCAGCTCCCAAATTAGACTACAGTTGAAATCAATATCTGTAGGCCAGGGAGAAACTAAAGAACTTGTTCCGACAGCCTCTTAATAATCTTCAGGGTGTCCCAATGGTTTCGGGCACGTAGGAAAGTACAAGAGACATCGGAGGCCCATTTTACCAACTCCAGCCTTCAAAGCATACCTCATCCTACAATATTTGCCATGCCCTTTGTCAAAATCCCCCAGCTAGAAATTCACGGGCATTGTAAAAATTTCAACTGTAGTTTGAGACTTTGTATTAAAAATATTCTATGTATTTTCTCATGAGGTCAGAGCGTTTCATAGGATGCTACAGTGTCATTGTGTTGACATGATTCAAAACTTAGACTCAAGACAATCACTTCAAAATATTTGAGAAAATACAATGCACTGAAATGCTTATGTCATAAAATACATCTTTATCTGTTAACTTCTGTACAGAGTATACAATAAATAAAACAGCAAAACATGGTTGCAACACAATTTCCATGTGTAGAATAGTCATGCAGACCACTCACAGACATGCAAGGTTAAATAGTTGGTGTTCAGCTAATTCAGCATTCCATGAATTTTGAAACATTTAACTTTAACATTCGAAGGTTGTTTGGAGTTTTAGGAAGATTCAATTCTTTTAGTTTGATACACAAGTTTTTGCATTTATTTCAAACAAAGCAAAAAGAGGTTTTGATCTGGTTAGAGTGAAATGAATCAGTTGTGAAATAATCATAAATCTACATTGGAAAAGAAGCTAGGAAAGGTTGAAAATGAAGGTAAATCTGACAGTATTTCTGAAGAAGGGTCTAGGCCCGGAACATCAGCTTTCCTGCTCCTCTGATGCTGCTTGGCCTGCTGTGTTCATCCAGCTCTACACCTTGTTATCTCAGATTCTCCAGCATCTGCAGTTCCTGTTATCTCTGAGTACATCTTGTGCTTGTATTGATTAAAAATTACTGCAAAGTGCTACGATTCTCAGAAAGGCCTTGACATTTGTAGTCCAAAATGTACCTCAGCAGTTGTGAAGTATTTTCAGATGTCTTGAGGGTCAGATGTCATGAAATGTATTGTCATTTTTTGTATTAATTCATGCATTTCTATGAATTTCTTTTGAAAATCAGATTTTTAAAATAAATAAACATTTGTTATGTATAAAGTTGACATCAGGCCAATAAGAACATGTTCCAAATTATTCATTTTGGATTTTGTCCCTGTTGAGTTAAAATTAATTTGATTGAAACAGGTTAATTGTCCAGATTTTGCAATAAAGGTATCGATGAGGGAAATACGTTCCCCGTTATTACAATGTGGATCAGACAGCAACTTCCCCATGAGACTGTGGATGAATAACGAAAGATGAAATCAGGACATTTCTATCTGGTTACCTCTCCTCCCTGACAGGCTTTACTGCCTCAGTAGCTTGTCAAGAGAATGCTCATTCAAATATAGGAAGGACAGGCAGTTGTAGTATTTAGCTCATGGATACCCAACAAACACACATTAAACAGAAAAAAATAGGGCTTGTCCAATGGAAATGAACATGTGGAAGAAGATTTGGTTAGTGGGGAAATTTGTAGATCAAAGCCATGGAAGATTGGGATATCCGGACTGGGATAACCAAGTTGATTCAGTATGGAGTCAGGCTATATCAAGGCTTACAGGGTACAAAGGAAATCAGAAGCCAGAGCCGGGTGAGAGTAGTGAGAGATTGTTGGCCTGAAGCAGCTTGGAAGCCAGAGGCAAGGTCAAGTAAGATTAACACCACAAAGCAAAATTCCAATCCATGTTAAAATGCTGACAGGCTG